GGTGGGATGTGCCTCTGGCAGGCCCACTCGGCTGCGTGGAGCAGGGAGGGGGAGGACCCCCTGGGGGCCAGGAAAGCCCTCTGGTGCTGAGTGGGCTTGTTCCAGGGCCAGTGCTATGGGCTTAAGGATGGGGCGGGATGCCTTTCGGGCTGGGACCACCTTCCTCATCCGGGTCCTGGCTCTGGAGGCTCCGGGCAGTGCCTCCTCCACCTCTGCATTCCCTCAGGCCCCTCAGGGGTTAATCCAGCAAGAGGGGGGGCGGTGCTGGGAGTGCTTTGTGAGGCTGCCTGCCTGCCACGTGTCAGGAAAACGGGGGTCCTTGTCATGACAAGCCATGGCGCTCTGCCCTTTCTGGCTCCTCACACCCGCTGCCCGTACCTGCAGAGCGGCCTGGGCAGGGCCAGAGAGGCACCAGGACCCTGTTTTCCTCTTTGCCAGGATGTCACCATGTGATGCTTGGGACGTCCTCCCAGCCCTGCCTCTAACCATGCCTTCCTCTGGCTGCTGCCACTGGGCTGTGTTTCGCCCTCAGTTACTCCACAGGTCACTTAGGCGCCTCCTTACAAAGACGGCCCCTCAGCTATTTGCGGGTCAGAGGCTTAGCCAGCCTGGACATCCTCCTCCATTGTCCCGGAGCCCTTCAGACCCGTGCGGGTGACCATTCACCGAGGTCACCAGGCCTCCCTTCTGTGCCCAGGGAAGCCAGAGCTGGCGGAGTCCTTACAGCCCAGGGGTGGCCCTGATTGCCTCTGTTCTGCCCCCGGGGTCCTCCAGCCCCTCATGGAAGGGGCATCGCATTAGACATCTCATTCTCTGCACATGTCAGCGTGCCCTGCCCCCAGCTCCCCACCCCTCCATCTCAAACTGGCCCGCTGTCTCCCCCACTCTGCCCACCCCTCGTTTTCATTTGGGGACCAGGAGGCCCAGAGAAGGCCACGGGTGTTCTCAAGGCTGCTGGCCTAGAGCACAGGTCTCCAGACTCCCGTCCTAGTGTCCCCTCAGCCGGGGAACAGGATGGGGTGGGGCTGGGGCAGCAGGGCGTGGGCCATTGTCGTGGGGAGAGGGGGCTGCTGGGAGTGGTGTGAGGGAGGGGGATGTATCTGCAACCCTGCTTCTGCTCTCTGAGCCTGTGCGGGGAGAGATGTTGTAAACTTAGATTTTATGGGGTTGGGCAGGCAAACCCAGGGCCCAGGAGAGAAGACGGAGTTTGCTTGTCAGCGTGGAAGGCTCCGTCTGCTCCCCATCTGCTCACTGGGCAGCCAGGACACTCTTTCACGAGATTCCAGGCCCAGCGAGGCTTTGGGAAGGAGGCCTTCGGGGGAAGGGCTGGATTTGGGGTGTAGGCAGAGAAGAGCGGGGTGGAAGCTGGGAACAGGGAGTTCTACCTGACTTAGTGGGATGGGCCAGGCGGGCTTGGAGGTGCCAGAGTAGGGCTGAGCTGATTGGCCGGTAGGGCTTCCTGCCTGCCTCCCCACACAGGCCTTCAGTGGCACCCCAAGTCCCTTCCTGCCCGTCCTCTCACCCCAGGCCTGGCTGCTGCAGTTGACTTTGGGCTGGGCCCCCTCCCTGGAATGTCTGCCACAGAGATTGCCCGGAGGCTGCCAGGCGGGAGCGGAGATGGGAAAAGGGGCTGGTGAGACCTCAGAGTGCAGGGACTTCCTGTCCCTCCCGGTGGCATGGGGACACTGAGTGAGGCCAGTGCTGGGCAGTGCTCTGCCCTCTCCCTCACCCACCCCAGAGGAAGCTGGAAGCTCCGCTCTTAAAACCCAGCTAGCTCTCTGGAATCCCAGACGCAGGTCTTGCTGCCCGGCTCAGCCACCAGAGGACACTGCTGGGCTCCTGGCACCATGCCTGTCTCTTCCCCGCCTCTCCCTGGGCTTCTCTGCTCCCTCCGGTCTCCCACCCTATGCCTGTCTCTTTAAATTTTGAGACAATGTCAAACTTCAGAAAAGTTGCAAATGCAATACAAAGACCCTTGAAAAAAATTCTCATCTGAGGATATGTTTATTTTTATTTTTTTAATACTCACCTGGGGACATGCTTATAGAGAGGAGAGAGGGAGAGAGGGAGAGAGGGAGAGAGGGAGAGAGGGAGAGAGGGAGAGAGAGAGAGAGAGAGAGAGAGAGAGAGAGAGAGAGAGAGAACATTGATTGGTTGTTCCACCAGGAATCAAAAACCCACAACTTTTTGGGGCACAGGATGACATTCCAGAACCACCTGGCATGTGGCCGGGTGTCCTTCCTTTTCCTTGAGCTATTTGATAGTTAGTTGCTGACATGATGCCTACCGCCCCTAAATGCTTTCCTGATTTTCCTACAAGGACTCTCCCTGCCTAACCCAACACAGCCATCAACGTCAGGAAACTGACTTGGACCTGTGACTTCCACCTCACCCTCCGATAAGCTGGCCAATGATGTCCTTTCTGGGTGGAAGGAATCCAGTTCGGAGCCAGCCATTGTGTTTGGCTGTCGCACCTCTTCAGTGTGCTTCAGTCTGGAAACCCACCCGTCTTCCCTCCACGTTCACGCCCTTGTCTGTCACTTTGGAGTAGTCCAAGCCGAGGGCTGGCAGACTGTCCCTCATTTTGGGCCGGGCTGGTGTTCCCTCCTGATGAGCGTGGGCTTGTGTCTCTTTGGCAGGAATGTGGCAGAAGTGGCACTCCCTCTCTGTGTGTCCCCCGGTGGCACACACCACGGGGGCCGTTACCTTTGATAAAAGTGGAGTCCGCGGGAAAAGTCCCCCTCCTCCCCCCATAATTTACAAGTATGATGTGGGGAGGCGCTCCGAGTCTTACAGACGCTCTGTTCCTCATCTTCCCAATCATCCAGTTATTTCACAGATCAGAATGGGTTCCTCTAAGCCATTCCTGTCATGATGTATTTGGGTGCTCAGATCTTCCCCCATTTAGTCTTCGGGGGCCCCTTCCAGCTGGCTCCTGTGTCCTTTTGTCTGTCCACCCCACTTTGATTCTCCGGTTCCCTTTACAGTCTCTGTGCGTTTCGATCTAATCTACCACATTCTCTGTGTGGGCTTGTTGGTCCTTCTTTTAGTCTCTGCCTTTATCTTGGTCTCTTCCCCTTCCCTGTCTGACTCCCTGTGGCCTGTGGCTTTTCTCTGTCTTCTCTCTGTCTGTCTCTGTCTTTGTCGCTGTTCACTCTGTCTTTGTTCTCTCTCTCTCACCCCCACCCCTCTCTCTCTCCCTCTCCCTCTCTCTCGTCTCCACGGTCTCTCTATCTTTGTTACTCCGGCTTACTGTCTCTCTCTCTCTCTCATTTTGTCTGTTTTTCTCTGTTTCTCTCATGGCTCAATCTCTTTTCCCCAGGACTCGCCGCTACAGTGTCTTCCGATAGGAGTCCTGGACATGCTGGGTGTGTGAGACTGTCACCGTTCCTGCTCTGCCCAAGTTGGCCCTTAGCCCCGTCCTGGAGCTGGGAGGCCTGGGGCAGGGTGCGAGAGGGGACTTGGAAGAGCAGAACCCCCTCCCCGGAGCTGCAGGGTCTGTGACTGTGTCTCTGTGTGTCCATGTGTCTCTCTGTGTGTGTCCATGTGTGTGCGGATGGTGCCGGAAGCTCTGTGCCTGGAAAAGGGAAGGAGGGAGCTGCCAGTGCCTATGTTCTGGGCCTTGCTGCTGAAGGGGGAATGGACCAGGTTGGACACCACAGTGAGGGCCTTGGAGAGGAATGGGGCCTGCAGGCTGGGGTGACTTCTCTGGGGAGCCCTCTGAATGGGGCACCTCAGGCCGGAGGAGGGTGGTTCTCAACAGCTGGGTGCAGGGCTTGCTCCAGGGCGTGTGCCCATAGGTGCTACAAAAGAGACTGTCGGAGCTCGAGGGGTGGGGTGCCCCACCTTGATGCCCGTGGCTTAGGTGGGAGAGTGACTGGTCCAGGAGCTCACGGTAGGTCAGATAGAGAGAAGGCTTGGACTGCTAGCCTGCCTCTCATATCATGTGTGTGGTGGTGTCGCTTTAAATAGATTATTTAGCCGAAACTGGGTTGGCTCAGTGGATAGAGCTTCGACCTGCAGACTGAAAGGTCCCAGGTTCGATTCCGGTCAAGGGCATGTACCGTGGTTGCGGGCACATCCCAGTGGGGGGTGTGCAAGAGGCAGCTGATTGATGATTCTCTCTCATCGATGTTTCTAACTCTCTATCCCTCTCTCTTCCTCTCTGTAAAAAAAAAAAAAAAAAATCAATAAAATATATTAAAAAAATAGATAGAATATTTAACATATTGAGTGAGATCTTCCTAATATAAAGAATAGAAAATAAAAATGGAAGAGACTTCTATGTTGGGGCAGGGATGGTAGTGAGGGGGAGGGAGAACTGAGGGCACAGCATTTTGTGCCCGTGGGTGAAAGTTAAGCCCTGTCAGCAGCGGACGGATAAAGGAATGAGCTCTCGTCAGTGGAGCGCCACACGGTAAGGAGGAGGAGCAGCTACTCTCCGCGTAACCAGCCGCCCGGGGGAGTCTCACAGAGTAGGACTGAGCGAGAGAAGCCAGGCCTGAGTGCATGCTGCGTAATTCCCTTCACGTGAAGTTTAAGGATCTGTTGGAATGAACCTTTGGTGGCAGAAGTCACAGTCCCTTTACCTGGGGGACAGTGAATGGGACGGCCACGAGGGAACCTTCCGGGGTGTGGTCCGTGGGGCAGGCGGTGTAAAATTGGTATCGAGCTATGCGTTTAAATGAGTGTACTTTGTTAATAAAGTAAATTTAAAAAAGCGGTTAAGAAACCACGGAGGGGCCTGTGGTCCCTAGCTGCTGGGGGCTGCGTTGTCATCTAGGCCTCGGTGTGCTGACCCCACCTGGGAGTCTGGGTCCCACCCCAGCTTTCTCTTCCCCTGGCACCTCCTCCCGGAAACAGGCTCAGGCCTATGCCACCTGAGAGAGCTCTTGCCTCTCCCTTTCCCTAGTCCGTGCCTACGTCTTCCCAGCCCCTCAGCTCCTCTCCTGGGAACCTATCCTCCCACCAGGCCTGACCACTGTGCCTTCCTCCCGCAGCCAGAGGACCTGGAGGCCCCCAAGAGCCACCACTTCAAGGTGAAGACCTTCAAGAAAGTGAAGCCCTGCGGCGTCTGCCGGCAGGTCATCACCCGGGAGGGCTGCACCTGCAAAGGTGAGCAGCGGAGGGAGCAGTCTCCCCGGGAAGGAGGCGGCCTGGGCCGGTCAGGCTGGGGCTCGGCTTTGCGGGTTTCCTTGGGGTCCCCACCTGGCGCCTGGTTCTCCTTTGGGGGGTGATGCAGAGCACACCGGATGGCAAGCATGTGGATGTGTGTGGCTGGTACATGGCAGGTGAGGATGGCATGGAAATGGCATGTAGCCTGTGCATGGATGACTGGTGCAACATGAGCGAATGGCATGTGGAAGGTATGTTGTGGGTGGCACATGGAGTTGGCATGTGGATGGTGTATGGAAGGTGTGTGAGTGTTGTGTGTCTGGCACCGGGAGTCCTACAGAGACACTAAGCCACAGTCCTTCCCTTGTGGCAGCTCAGGGGTGCGTTTGAGAGGCCCCTAGTCAGATGGGGGCGGTGTGTGTGTGTGTGTGTGTGTGTGTGTGTGTGTGTGTGGCTGCTGGTGGGCAGGCTTTTCAATTGTTGTTCTCACTGTTTCCGAGAACAGCCTGGGGTTTGGCTGTCACTGATGCCAGACGTCAGTGTCTGTCCCACATCACACAGTGAGATCAGTGTCTGTCCGACATCACACAGTGAGACCCTGCACCCCATCTCCGTGACTGACACCCAGCTGCTCCCCCGCCCCCATGCCTCCTTCTCCTTCACCCCCATCTCCCATCAGCCCACTGAGGCCCTGAGCTTCTCTGCAGCCCCTTAGGCTGCTGGCTTTTCTCACCCGGACCACTGCCTGTGGCCCCTTTGCCTCCCGTTTCCTGGCCCACCCTCCCTGACAGCTCGCAGCGGGACTCAATTCTAACTCAGTTGTGTCAGTTCCCTGATAAAGCCTCGGGGCCCCCACTACCCTCCAGACAAAGGACAGGCCCCTTCCCATGGCTGTGAGGCCTGGCAGGACCCACCCCTAGCCAGCTCTCAGACCTGTCTCTCCTCATCCCCCAAGTCCATACTCACACCAGCTGCCCCTTGCAGAGTTCCTGAAATGCCAAGTATGCCAGGTATGCCAAAGGGGCTGGGTTCCTGCCTGCCCTGGCACCTTTCCTCCACCTGGACTCTCCTTCCTTCCCTTCTTATCAGCGTCCTAGTGGAGCAGGAGGCCGGGCAGCAGCTGGAGGCTAGGGAACAATTGTTGAAGCGCTTAAATTTAGATGGCTTGCATGCATGCTCCCACATATTGCTCATGGCATCTGGTTTACAGATGAAACCAAGGCTCAGAGTAAGTAAATCTCTGGGCAAGGCGCACAGCTGCTGGGCCAGAGCGGGGTTTTCAGGGTGTGTGCTCTGTGGAGGAGGGAAGGGCTCTGACCAGGAGTTTCAGCCGATGTTGAAAGTTGGAGTGGGTGAGGGAGTGTGTGAGGGAGTGTGTGTGTGTGATTGTGCATGTGGAGGGCTTTCCTTAGGCAAAGGACTACAGTCTTCAATGGAAGAAGGGTTGCGTTGAGGGGCCAATGGGAACTTTTGCAATACCAAAACCAGCCACATGGTGTCACCCTCCCTCTAAGTGTTTGGGCTGGTCAGGCAGTGGTTTGGGTGGGAGTTGGGTGAGGTTGGAAGGAATTGCTTTTCCTTGTATCACCAAGCCACCCGAGAATCTGCTTAAGATAGCCCTGACCCTCCCCTCAGTTTGTTCCTTCCCTCCCTCCCTCCCTCCCTCCCTCCCTCCCTCCCTCCCTCCCTCCCTCCCTCCCTCCCTCCCTCCCTCCCTCCCTCCCTCCCTCCCTCCCTCCCTTCCTTCCTTCCTTCCTTCCTTCCTTCCTTCCTTCCTTCCTTCCTTCCCCAGCGTGCCTTCCCTTCACCCCGACGCCCACAGCTGTACTGGGAGGCAGCAAGGGGCGGGGTAGAAGGAAGTCCCAGCACACTCACTGTGAGACCTCGGCACATTCCTGGCCTTGTGTTCCGTGATAGTCTGTAGTCCTAGGCTTCCCACTGGACCTGGCTTGAGGGTCCAGGTTGAGGAGGGAGTTTGGCCCCATGTGAATGGAAGGCTCCCTAGGTGAGCAGAAATGCCCCCAGTGTCACCTGGTTCTGCCAGGTGTGACCCTGGAATGGAGGTCAGGTGGCCAGTGAGCTGCCAGGCTGGTTTGGCAGCTCTGGGCGAGTTAGTGAGAAGTGGGAAGGAAGCCAGGGCCACACTCCAGGGGCACCACCAGGTGTCAGGCCTGGGCCATGAAAGGGCCAGCATGAGCCTGGCAAGGGAGGGTCGTCAGGATGAGGGCTATGGTCACCAGGCTGGGGGGAGGGGCAGGAAGGGTTGAGGCCACTTGGACTTATTGGTAGGAGCTGAACGAGTAGGCCTGCTTCTGTGCTTTGGAACCGTGAGGTTGTGGTGGCATGAGATGGATAGACCCCTAATCCATCCGCCTCTTCCTCCTTCCCTCCCTCCCTCTGTCTGTCCATTCACCCAGGCTACCAAGTACTGGTTGAGGGGGCAATCGTGGACTAAAATCCAGGCCACATTTTATTAACAAGCCCAACTCAAAGTGTTTGTTGGTTCCCCCTCCAGCCTTCATTTCATGTCTTGGGCTGTAACGTGGTAGCCCACTGGGTTAGCAGCCGGGACGATGGGTGAGTGGGGTGTGTAGAACCCCAAACCTCTGGATTTATAGTCTCCCCAAAGCTTGTTCCGCTGAGGGGCATGTGGCTGCAGGCTAGGGGCAGTGAGAACACTTTGCTAGAACGTGAGAGGCTGGGGCATTCATCCTGTCCCCTCTAGCCACCCTGCTCTGTCACCTCGATGGTTCTTCCACTTCTCACCCTCCCACATTTCCCTGTTTAATGCAATATGGCGGAGGGGGTGGGTGCGAGACCAGGTAGGGAACGGAGTCGGGGAACCTGGAGTCTCATCCTGGCTCTGGGGACTCAAGGGCCAACCAGGCAGAGGAAGAACTAAGGCGGTGAGACGTGTGGGCGTACGTGTGACAGATATATAGGCGATGAGGTCACCGTGAGACCTCGGCCAGCCTTCTCCCTCGCTGAGCCCGTGTCCTCCCATGTATCACGGGGTTAATGATAAACCCTGTCCTTGCCCTGCAGGGGGTTGTGGTGGGGAGCTCGGAGGCTCTGTGTGTGGCTGTAAATGAGTACTAGTGTGAGTGGGGCAGAGGTGGACGAGACAATGGCCCAGGGCCTTTGTCAGTGTCCAGGCTCCATTTCTGGCCTTGCCACTCCCACGGCTGTGGTGACTTCAGAAGTCACGTCCCTGCTCAGGCCCCAGCTTTCTCATCTACAGACAAGGGGCTGGGCCAGACAGTGGGAGGGCCTGCAAAGCTCCCTGCTGGCCGAAACTGGTTTGGCTCAGTGGATAGAGTGTCAGCCTAAGGAATGAAGGGTCCTGGGTTTGATTCCAGTCAAGGGCACATACCTTGGTTGCAGGCACATCCCCAGTGGGGAGTATGCAAGAGGCAGCTGATCGATGATTCTCTCTCATCGATGTTTCTAAAACTCTATCCCTCTCTCTTCCTCTCTGTAAAAAATCAATAAAATATATTAAAAACAAAACAAAAAACAAACAAATAAAAAAACTCCCTGCTGGCATCTGCATAGGCTGGGTAAGTCTCCCCGTGCAGGCGCTGATTCGCTGGCAGGCACAGTGATGACCCGAGTGCCTGCCCTCTAGGCTGGATGCTGTGTCAGGCACTGGTGCCAAGACCCAGCCCCTGACCTGCGAAGACAGACATGCCACCAGACGATCTCAGAACATGGTGGCAAAGCTGACACTTGTGTGTGCAAGAAAGGCTGTCTGACTTAGCAGAGATTTTCCTGCCAGGCATTAGCAGGGAGGGCATATGTAGGCTGGGTCTTGAGGGATGTGTAGGAGTTCCTTACTTCAAACAGTGGGTTTCCCACAGGTCCTGGGGACAGTGCATTAGGGGGTCTAGGGCCTTGCTCAAGGGCCCTAGTCTCCCACTTGGCTGAAACTCAACAGAAGAGACCAGAATACCAGCCCAAGGGCCCGCGGGCTGCCATCTGAATCTGGACTGAGGCCCAGACATAGACTACTTCCTTTCTCAGTCCTCTGGTCAGCCTGGAAGGCGGGGGCAGCTTCCTCAGAGTGGGGTGTATCTGGGGAGGACAATCCAGCCCTTAATGGGTCAAGTCTACCCAGAAGCCCTCACGGGCTGGATTTGGAGAAACCTTGGTTCAGGAGCTTTCTCCTGTTACTTCACTGGTGGTTCCAGATTCTCCCCTGTGTCTGAGGACCTCCCTGGAGGCAGCCTTGCTATGTGGCCGTGGTGAGACAGCCTCTCTGGGACTGGCTTTCCCCTCTCTCTGGAAGAGGGGCTGGGCTAGATCAGAGGTTCCAGATGGGTTAGAAAGGAGTTGTGTTCTTGGAGCTACTTTAGAGGCTGAGAGGAAAGGATAAGGGGAAATCCAAGGAAAAGCAACGGGGCTGAGGCCTTGAAATACCTGCACACTTCAGCTAAAGCGGCTCTGGTTTTAGGAGTGAAATATACTCACAGGTAGGAGGGATGGTGTGGTGGTCTTGCACTTGGCTCAGATGTCCTGGATTTAAATCCCAGCGTTGCCCCTTCCCAGTAAGAACTTTGGCAGTTTGCCTCACCCCTCTGAGCCCTGGTTCCCTCACCTTTGACATGGGACACACAGCAGAACTCCTTCCTTGGTAACTGCAGGGATTAGATGAGATAACAGACAAAGTGCTCGGATCAGGGCCTGGCATATAACACGTATTAAGTCAATAGGAATGACTATCACATTGAGATTCCTCATTGAGTTCATCTGAAGGAGAGGTAGGCTGCAAACACAAAGGTTTGAAAACCACTGGACGGGATGATCTACAGGTTTCTTCTTGGTTCAACTTCAGAACCATACCATGCCCCCTCCTCTGAGACACCTTGTAATAGTCAGGGTTCTCCAGAGAAACAGAACTCACAGGATGTGTGAGTGGCTGGGTGGATGGATGGATAGGTATTTATTATACAGAACCGGATAATGCAATTGTGGAGGCTTGGCAAATCCAACATTTGCAG